AGAAATGACGCAATTAGATTTTCGGTTCCATCTTCCAAGTAATTGAAATTTCCACGAAGTCTATTCGAAAGTCAATTCAACTATATAAGAGCTAATAATTGCTGTTTGTTCATTAACCGCTTTAATTATTGATAACAAAAAAAAAACTAAAAAAGTCTTCTTGTTTGTAACAAACCACTGTTTACAAACTGTTATGCTTATTATTAAAATGTAATAAAACGAGTTGGTAAATTTACAAACACAGCTTCACTTGCTAATGAACGGTAATGAATTTAAAAGAAAAGAATAAAATCCGTAGAAGAAATAAATCTGCTATCTACGTCTAATTTTTTCAAACTAAATCAACTAAAACGACCGATTTTAAAAACTCAATTGAAGTTTGTTAAAATCGTTTCCCGAACAAAGCATAGCGTAGTATTTACGTATATTTATTTCGCGACAACTACATAATGTACAGATAAATATGCCTTCATATAAAATAGGGCATTTCCATTTACCGTGAAATGTACAAACTGTCCAAATCCTTTTTGTTGACCCTATAATCCTAATACAATGATAATAATCGTACGATACATTTCTCGGAAAGGTTTTATATCGCCTATTGTGTGATAAAATTGCTCGTTATCGTATCATTGGTATTGACTAATCTCTTTATATATATTAAGTTAAATTATACGCATTTAATCGTAAATATAATATAAAAAAGTCATTGAATGATATAAAATGGCGCAAATATGGCGATATTATATTGTTTTTTTGAATTCTGTATTAATATTAATCGAATTAAGGGAAGTCGTTGGCTTTTTTAATACATGGAATTAACGTAGTAAAGGATTTAACGATATATAATAAAACAAAATACAGACATAAAAATTAAAACGACTGATGTGCAATGTATTTGTAAAATTATATGCGCACTGTAATATTTTTTTTATAAGTAAATAATTAATTTGTTATCAAATAACAGCATAAGTTAGTGTGGTTATTGAAATTAAATAAATATAAATAAGAGTAAATTCTACAAACTGTTTATGAATTTCCAAATGCGGTTATTCTGTTTTTGTTTTCAAATTTAGTAATACAATTTTATATTGTATTTTTTATTCTTAAACTCTAGTTAAATTAATGGCTGACATTCGTGTAAGTTGGGTACTTATGGTCTCTCGTTTTCTTTAACTTGACATCTTGCGCGTTTATATTTATAACCAAGATTAATTAAAACAGATTATCAGAAAGCAAAACAGGGCGGAAGATTTATGAGGTAGAGATAATGTAAGTGGCTGAAGAAAACTCTTTAATCAAGAATATTTCAGATCTTTTCATTTTATCACTGATTACTCGAATACAGAACCCTTGAAAGAGCAATTAAAGACATTTTAGATTTACTTTGATAAATTTTACGAGCGTCACTTGAAAGATGTTTGAATCAGAATCGAGACCAACAAGAGTAAGCTATAAAATTAAAAGACATTTTGACTAAAGAGTTCATTGTAACCACAGAAACGTGTATTTAAAAACTTATTTTTAACTAGATTTTACCCGCAACTTCCTCCGTAAAAGAAACGTATTAAGTAGCTTATGTGCCAGAATTACTACATCTGTGATTTATATATGTTAAACAGTTTTGAAGATTCGTACAAACGTCCATCCATCCATCCAAGCTCTTGCATTAATTATTTTTGTACGATGTGTGTTTTAAATGCAATAAATTGGGTATATGAAATAGTTAAAATCCAGATAGTAAATGCCTTTTGTGACTCCTGTCTTGTTCTAGATCTCGTGAGGCTTACATTTGGCGAGGATTTACATCGTTTATGTTTCGTAACCCTCTAACGCGGAGTCTGAAATCAGTTTAATGTCTTGAATAAGTAAGCAGACACGGGCGTAATGTTGCGACGGATTACTTAATATAACTAGGAATTAAATAGAAAATTAAGTTTTAATTACTATAGCATTATAAAAGCATTTAAAAACAGAGTTGCAAGCTATAACGATGGTCTATAAAGTAAACTTTAGTCTACATTAATAACCTCAAATTATAGATTTACTTTAAATGGCCGGCTTATCTCATACTTTATGCAGAATTGGTTAAACTTCTGAACGATAATTGCCGGATGGAAAGGTATAGATTGAAACCTACGCGGTGTCAGACCTGTATTTAATGTCTTTAATAGTTATTTGAAAGTTACTTAAATAGATATCGAAATGGTAGTGAACAAGTATAAATATTATTAACTAGCTGTTACTTGCCACTTCGCCCGCAATAAATTAAAATATAAAATATAGCCTATGTTACTAATAACATAGCTTTCTAATGGTGATTATGATTTCAAAAAAGAATTGTTGAAATCGGCGTAGTATTTTTTTAGTTATTTCAATACATACAAAATACAGAATATTAAACATATGTTATAATACTTTTTATATATGTGGTAATGTATGTGGTAGCTTATCATGTATAATGAGAGATTCGCAGTTTGACAGGCCTGCAATTATTAATGTATGAATTTGCGGCGTGCAGCGACCGCCCTGGGAACTTCGTAAATGATTGAAGCGCACGAACTTAATCCTAGCTGCATTACATTGTGTATTGTTATACAATTTGTATATGCACAATTTGTACTATAAATTTGCTTATCTATTCTTGCTAAATAAATAAAATTCAAAGTTCATATCCTTTGTTAACCTAACGCTAAAACTATAATAGATTTTGACAATAGAGGTATAATGTTCCGCGGATGCTATAAAAGGTGTGTACTAAGAAAATGTAATAAAAATGTTCAATACTAGCTTTCGCCCGCGATTCCATCCGCGTGGAATTAAAAAATAAATAAAGTGTGTAGCCTATGTGTTCTTCCAGATTATCCTCTACATCTAAAACAAATTTCATTAAAATACGTTCAGCCGTTTAGGCTACAAACTCTAATAAACATCCATGCATCTAAACTTTCGCATTTATAATATTAGTATGACTATGACGTATGATTATTGTATTACCTATTGCGAAGTTATATCATAATATTGTTTCTTCAGACATGTTTAAACAGTATTTTTAAAACAGTGTTAGGTTTTATAGTAACAATCCTTAATCCTATAGAAGTAACTGTAACTCAGGAATTCAATTTTTATGACTCAACTAACGTCGATAAATATTTTTAACAAAATTAGTTTTACACCTAAAGTTACAAGTTTATAAACATGCGTTAGAAATGTTTATAAATAACTTTTAAGTGTGATACATTTCCTAAATGTATACTTTTGTTTTTGTCCTCCACATAACTCTATCATACGTCATCTCAGTCATCACACTCCCTTTTTGATCATGTCACCTTTTACACAATCCATCCATCTCTTTCTAGGTCTACCTCTACCATTGTACCCTTCCACACTCATAACTAACGTTCCCCTTGTACAAATACCTTAAATTAAGTTAATTTCAGTAATATCCTTTTAAAGCAATCAAGTAACTAATATGTAAAATGGCAATTACCCATAAACTTTAGAATCAAAGTTAAATCTGAATTGATTTTAAAACCTGTCTAATCCAGATTTCATATTAATAGAAATTTTAAGCTCTTGCGTAGTTTGGTTCAATTAATTACTAGGAACTGATATTGTAGCAATAACAAATTAATTAGTAACCAATTACCTTTGACATTAATGAGGTAATTGAAGCAATTTTGTCAGATTAGGTTAATTTCACAGGACTATAGAGTTATGGAATATAACTAGAATAAGAAGTTAATAGAAGAAGAAGAAGAAGAAGAAGAATAGAGTTATACATTTGATTAAATCAAACCTACATTATTTTTAAGACTATTTTGATTCTAAGCAATAAGTACTTCTAGAACATAAGAATAAACAAAATATAGTTTTAGTACATCTTGAGAGCGTCGGTGGCTCAGGGGTTTGTGCACTTGACTTGTAATCTATAGATCCTGGATTCGAATCCCGCCGTGCAGGGATGTGATTTTTGACTTTACAAATTTCATATCTACATAATTTACCCGACGTTCTACCGGTGAAGAAAACATCGTGATGCCTGCACAAATCTGCGAAGAAATACAAAGTTATGTGTGAAGTTAAGCAACCCGCACTGTTCCAGCGTAGTTGACTATTGCCTAGTCACCCCTTACAGAGGGTAGGCTCCGAGCCCCTCAGTGGGGACATATCGTGAGCTGGTGGTGGTGATGATGATGATGATAATTTTTATAATCCATTTTATCGACAACATATATAAAAATCAGATTTAAAAATTGTGTTACTGGTTAATTAATCATTAAAACATTTTGGCCTTTCAACACTTAAAATGCAAACAAGTATTGTCACTTTATACTATTTTCTAATAGAGCCACTAGTCTCGGTAACTGTTTTAACCACGGCACAGAGGTGTTAACTCTGTGTTAGAGGCTATTTTACGGTGTAAACTTGTTTAACGTCCGACCGCCGCGCTGTAACTTCGTTGTTGTGTCCATTTGCCATCAACTTTAGTTGTGCGAATAAAAATAAATCATTTTTACTACGATTTTACACCACTACAATATAACACGTCGCATAAAAGAAAAATATTTAACGTAAGTCCTTTTCGGCGATTTTATTACAAAAGGTGAAAAATAAAATACACTCTTCAGTTTAATAATCTTAAACCTTTGAGGAATTAAATTGTAATATTCCATGGTTATAGTTGTTAAAATCTGCAGGTTACTAGAGTTGGGCATGTAATATTTATAGCGGGAGGAGAGGAGGGCTGCAGTGAGGGTACGAGTTATACAATATTGGAACACTAAAGCCGAAGAGAATTTCTAAGATGTCTCTGGAATTCATTAGCATACAAATTGAAACGCTGAACAGTGGCGATTGAAATGCCGTTCGGATGAAATTTGTTATAAAATCTTACGATCGGAGAATTTCTTTTTAAAAAATAAATGGGTTGTCATTCTTTACTTTTCCTCGATTTTTTTGTTCATTGTTAGCTACTATTTGGTTCATGCTACACTTACCTCTTTGCTTATTTCCTCACCGCTACTTGCTTTAACATCTAACTGGTTAGTTGTAACTATTGCCTTTTCATCAGCAGTGATATGTTCTATTGGTTGTTTTCTTGTATGATTTATAACATCTGGCTCAATAACATTAACAACACAATTGTCTTTTTTTGATACGTAGTATTCCACTGTTTTGTCGTCTGGTGACTTATCGTCAGATGTTTTAATTTTAAAACAAGATATTGTCTTTTTGTCTTTCTTTGTCTCATCTTTACTTTTAGTCTCATCTTTTTCCGAATCGTTTCGTGTGTTTTCATCCTTTTTAATATCTTTTGCCTTCAATCGTTTCTTTTTACCATTCCATTTAGTAACTCCCGACTTTGATCTGTGACTATCATCACTGCTACTAACGCTATCTAAACAAACCGGATTTACTAATATTTTCGTTGATTTAGTTTTGCGTTCAATCTTTCTTAGATTAAGTAGGTTCCCCGATGAATCCATGAATGATGGTACTGTGGTTAAGGCGACAGAATTATCTTTTGTATTGGTACAGAAACTATGTTTCGACTTGGGTAATAGTTGAATGGTCTTCATGACATCGGTCGTATGATGACGTAATTTACCATTGGTGCCGAGTGGGCCCATACTGACAGGAGGTCCTCCGTTAAACAATAAAGCCGTTTCCATTGGTTGACACACACAAGCTAACATTTTCAAATGGTCATTTGGACATACTTAAGGCTATTATCACTTTCATTTTTGGTGTTAATTGTACACGGACTAAATATTACATGGCTGGAAATCTAAAGGAATTTATATTATAAAAGATTATCTTAATAGTAATAATTGTCGTACGTCGATAAATCCTTCCGAGTTGCGTTCTCCTCTCCAGAATTTAAGACGCATTGTTTCACGTTGAACGGATATAAGCATCACATTCATTTCCTAATATGCAAAACGGTACGTGATCTGAACCCTCTTAGGGAAACTATGGTAACATTTAAGTTAGGAGTGATAGTAGCATATAATGTGTAACAGTCACTATTATAATACTAAGTACTCCTTGATGAAAGGGTTTTTTGTCGTAATATTTGGTTTTCAAAACTACATAGAATACTTTATGAAAATACTAAATTGTAAAATTTTAGCGACTATGAGTCGAATCCTACTGGTCTATTTCGTTACATCTGCAGATGTATTTATAAATACATTGTACCAACAGTAACATATTGCACGATATGAGAAGATAATCTTCACCTAATAACGTTTAGTTCCCTTGTAACACATTTTTTCAACGGATTACTTTCCAATTAATACAAAGAGATATATTATTTATCTTCTGTCACATTTTCTTTATTAATACATCTGTCTAGAAAAACTTTCGCTTGTATATTGCAATAACGATAATTATTCTCTAAAAGAGATATCTATTGTCAACACTTCTATTGTTTTATAGTTTTTACGATCGAACCTTTTCGTAAGCCCTCTTGATTTATCCCTTACTTGAGGATGTAAATTTCGTACTAAATCATCCACTACGATATCTAAACGCTTTGAAGTAAAAATTATTAAGAGCGTGTTTATAGAGTAATCTTAGAAGATTAATACTGCATAGCGATTTGTTACTGTAGATTTAGTATGACATATCCACTCTAAGGGACTGCTTAGGTAAGCATTATGACTGTACGGTAGTTAAATTTACTGTGATTGAAACCAATTTTTGGTTGTATCAAGGAAAGTATTTACTACTTTTTTATGCTTCTATCAGTCATGGAATGTTTTTTCAATTCGAATAAATCCGTTACCGATACTGCATCCCTAATGAACGAGATAACGACTATCAACGGAGCAGCGCATATGTGAATGACGGGGAAATGTCTTTGTGAAATATGGAGTGTGGATGCACGAGTGGCTGTCTATCGAAGCCTGCCCAATTAGAGCGAGATTTAATTATCAAGCCCGCATTGAGGAGTCACTCCGCGTTCAACCCTACCCACCTTGTAACCGCTCTTAAGAGCAACGCGTAAAGCCGTTTCAATTAGATTTTCATTAAGTTGTTGGATATATTACACATTTCTGACCCAGTTTTCATCGTTTTCACCAAATCTTATGTTTTTGTCAACTTAAATAAATTTAGTTTATTTAAAAAATGTATATGTACAAGAATTTTGGAGGAGTGAATATATTTCCGTTGACGTTTTATAACTCCGAATTAATTTTGTTAGCGCAGTTCGATTCTTCTCTTAATGGTGTTATGAATAACTTAGGGTTGTCACTTTACAGTTTTTACTCATATAATATAACGGAAAAATTATAAAATCGATTCATTTTGTCAAAATAGAATAATGATAAATAATAAATATATTCCTTTATTTAACAATAAACTGGTTACAGAAAATTGCTCGAAAACCTATTGGTACTTACTGAAATATGAAATGTAAAGTATAGTAAATGTAAAAAAATATTTTAATTTTTTCTTAAACATTTAAAAACAAATACATTATATTTTTGAAAAAAATTGTATTCATGTACAGTATACATAAAAGTAAAGAGATAAAAATATACAGAAAGCCTTAATTTTTTTCTTGAAAAGTACCTAATTCTGATGAATGACTAATCAAGATATATTCGCAGCATCCCTAAGAGATCTCTTGAGACCACAACAAACTTCTGAACCGCTTTCAGCAGTCACAAGCACGACTTCTTTGCCCTTTATATCACACTAATACAAATCTCAAAACGAATTCTACAAAACTTTGTCGTACAAAATTTAGAAGAAAATAATAAACTTTTCATCTCGTACTCACAACTAAAGAAATTTAATTGAAAAAGTTGTAAAAGGTATTACAGATATTTTGCAATCAAATTTTGAATACCTTAATTAGTCAAAAGAGATCTATTCAACTACAAAAATATATCATTTTTTTTATTTTTAAAACACATCTTTATGTAGCTCCAGAAAGTTTTAGAAGTAAATATAGTAAGCTGCATGAAAACTAGTCAAATAAATACAGAAAAGTACCATTCGTATACTAATAAAATACAAAAAAGAACTCCTTAATATTTTTCCGAGCGAAGGTAGAATATAGTCGTAAAGGTAGAGACCGACAATAGAAGCCGTCGGATAATCAAATCAACACCTTCGTCACGCCGCAAATCGAATATGAATAGAGGTATTCGGTTTGGCGATACTCCTTTCGACGCTCGACAACGCAAATATACGACTCCGGGAGAACTCATCCGAGTATTACTTTAAATTCAATAGAGTAGCATTAATTTTTCGTATGAAAATATGAAGAAGAATTATAAATACCGAATTTAAGAAACAAATAAGAAGAATTTAACATCCTTCTTCGTCGGTTAAGGGTAGGCAACGCGTCTGCAATTGAGGATGTATACGGGCAGCGGTCGCAACTCATTAAATTGTAAGTTTTAGAATTCAAGGAAAAACATACATCATATCGGATTGATATTGAAGTGGAAAATCTCAAATTTCTTTATCGAGCTATATCAAAATGATTAACCATCAACTACGGCCATCGACATCTTACACCATATTTTAATAATAAACTTTTTACTTCAAGGTAGAGAATAGTATCTTTTTATAAAATAAGATAAGAAAGTGTCTCAATAAATAAGACTATGAATACACCCAAGAAGAGCGAGAAGACAGCTAACGCGAAGAGACGATCTCGAAGAAAATATAAAGGAAATTTTAAAGGTTTTGCGCAAGAAACATTTTATAAAGATAGTACACATAAGTTTTTTTTTAATAATAACCCGTTACTGGCCATTTGATAACATAACCACACTCATATTCATTTAATTTCTAACCAAACACTAATGGATACATAATGCATATATCATATATGCATATATATATGTTGGTTTATAATTCAGCGACTTGTCTTCTCCCCATTATACAAAATTTCATTTTAGTCAAAGAGTAACCGAACCTACAAGCAAGAACTTGGATGTCTGAAAATTAACCTATTAGACTCTCAGCGCCCCATAAACTTTAGGCAGATAACTTTTCGAGTGAATTAACGTAGGTAACACAAGGTAATGCTGCAACATTGAGCTCCAACCGTTATACATAATGTCGGTATGTTACAGTACAAAAAATTACATTAACAGTGAATACCGAGAACCAGAAAATCGATACGGACGAACGTTTCCGATAGAATTGCAATATAGCACGTCACAGCTGACTATAGTCCGACGAACTTATCTGGCCAATGAGGTACGTTCTTAGTTTTATTACATAATGTATAAACCAGCTTAGGGATAAAAATTACCGTAAAGAAAATGATTAAGAAGCTGCAATCTAACAAGGATCTTGTAGCAATTTTTCCACATTGACAGGGCAGTATATGTTTCTATAAGACCAAAAAAGTTGATCACACTATTTGAATCGAATAAGACAATGACAGTGAAATCTGATAGAGGGAAACAATTTAATTTCCATGATTTACGGAAAACGAACCTGTCGTTATCCTTAATAGAATTTCCTGATTTATTTTACATGCAAATTAAAATTGAAAATATAAATCTCTTGGTTTACAATATTTATGGGATGAACCCGGACGTATTGTGACGTAATGTTATTTACTTTTACATTTTAAACAAAACAAAATCAATACTAAAATTATAAAGAGTGAAGATTTATACTTTGGTACGGATTTTAATTAAAAAAACTACTGGGCCTATTTCAAAATTCTATTATCATTAAAAAGCTACGTTATCAATGAATAATGTTTTTTACTATTTTTTTAATACCACATGAATGAAGACGAGGTAACAGCTAGTGAAGAAAAAATATTACAGCAAGACAGACGTTCATGTTCAAAGAATTTATATTAATAGTATAGAGAAAAAGTTACCCAAAAGAGATTTCACAAAAATGATAAACAAATGTGATCACGAGTGGAAATCGAAGCCAATAATGCGGCTAGAAGACGTTCCAACCGCTAGGCTACTGGGCCGTGCTACGATAATCAACCCCGTATCATTTTACCCGTCTCCAATTTTAATAAGAAAACTAGAAGCTACCACTACTCAACTATTTAATATAATATTCAAAACTGTGACTTACACCTCTGACATAAGGTGCATTGTATGTTTACTTTTATTCGACTGTACTGGGCTCTCGTGTTACTTGCTCCGCGACAAGTGTCTCACACGGGCTACGAACCTGCAAACTTGACTAACTGGAATTTAAAATATTTGTAAGATCTGCTTACACCGCACAAACATGCCACCACTGATTTGTTTTAGCAAATCTCTCGTCAATTGTTTATTACTTCCATAATACAAAATATTGTTAATAATTTTGTCCTTAGAGAGCGCGCAACTTTGACCTAACTATCGCATAACCGTTGTACGATTGTCGATCGTCGAATGTCTCGCATCCAATTCAATTGTTTAGTTGCACAACTAAAAATTGAGTAATGTCCGCGCCTCCATATAAGCTCATAGGTAAGCTCATAGGAGCTAAACAATTGTACTATAGTTAAGTCAAAGGTGTACGCGCGCTTAAGTGGTATTTCCAAAGCAAGACGACTGAGGGATCCTCCACTATTACTGGGTCTAATCCAATTTGTATTTCCATAAATGTATTTTAAATAATATCGATGTCAAACTGAGTTGTTTATAGTATGTAATCAATTTCTTCTAAGCTAATACCTGGTTTTAAAACCGTGTTCGAAGTAATTACAGATATAAACTAGATCAGACTTAAGAAAGTATTTAATTGGGGGCTATGGGCATATAAATTGCAATCAGCGCTTGCTGTTCTACGTTACTTGTGTACTTATTTACAATATTACTTGAATATCTATGTTGATACATTCATATTTTACAATGTATAAAAGTTTTATAGCTTTAGCAAGTTGATGAAAAGTTCATTGTCAAATATAGATAATAATTCGTAGTTAAAATTAAAAGAAAATATTAAAATAAAGTTCATTTACAAAATTTCGGCTTTCGGAATTAAAATTGAAACATTTATCAGAATAAGTTACCAAATATGTAATTTTATTAAAAAAATAACCGTAGAAATCATTGATTTCTTTAAAAAAAACACAACGAAAGTATTAATACGATTTTTTGCAATAAGATATAATGCAATGAATTTCAAATTGCAATAACAATTCGATGCTATGTCAATCAACGATGAGCGATAAAATAACCAATGGTATCATGCCAACATCCATAACCTAAAATATCATACGAAATACAATATTCTGAAGTATTACGATAAAGTAGACGTTCGAAATGAAGGCAATGGGTTGACCACCTGTTACGTTAACCCTAGTAAACTTTAGTGAAATTTAGGTTTATTAGTATAAACTATCTCACCAGATGATGGATTTTATTGTATACTACAAAACCATTTACTTTATTAAAATATAACCGCTATTTGTAGACGTAAATATTTAATTATTACTCTCTATAACATAAGAAAACAACTTTACAATCTTTCCCACATTAAACTCTTAGAACCAATATAGCATTGTTCTTGAAATCGAATACTTGACTAAGATTAAGTAAAAGCGTCTTTAAAAGGAACTTCAAGTGGTCACATGTGGCTATCGTATGAATAAAGTTTTTTGATATACTGACTGAACTTATTGATGTTTAAAGATTTTCTACTTACACTTTTTATTGTAACTTAAAAGTCAAAAAATTTAACATTAAAACTACATTAAAATATTACCTTTCTATAGATTTAACAGCTACTTAAGTTAATTAATAAAAGTAATAAGGACTACAATAATAATACCTTTTTGGTAATAAAAAGCTTCAAGTAATTATGATATCGTAGAAAGAGCTTTCTGATTTATTACAGTGATAACTGCAAAATTCAGATCAATTTTACCTGACCAATCCAATATAACAATGCATCCAGTAATCAACATTAAAGTTTAAGCTTAGTAAAACTTATTTAAGTAAAGCAACTTAAAAAATGAATTTAATACATAATCAATTAGAATAATTCCAGCCATGTACAAGTTAAGTAAAAAAACGATAAAAACAAACTTCACTTTAACCGTGCGATGTATTGGGTTCGGGGTGCAGACGACCGTACGACCAACCCCTACAGAGTTCCCGGCACTACTGAACTGGCGCAGACTACGGGCGCCGTTCGTACACAATGAAGCCTCAGATGCACCCCCCTCCGCCCCGGAACTCTGACATCACAAAAATGCACATATTTCTAGCAAAAAAGACTACAATGGACAAAAGAATGTTAGAGAAGCACTTGTAACGCGACCACTTGAGCCAAAGTTTCTCGACTCTTGAGATTTATAATGATACTGTTAATAGCGAGTGGACATGTTACCTGTCGAAGATTTTGTCCAAGATTATGAATAAGTTTTAATAAATGTATTTAAATAGGACAGTCCTGTGTATAACGTAAAAAATACATATAATATAATAGCTTTTGAGGCGAGGTTTTAAATTTTAAAAGCTCGGATAACAATTAGTATATTTTCAATAATAGGACAACCGGTGTCTTGCCTTAAGCTCAATGTACATATGTAGGCTTTACGCTACGTGTTTTGAGGTCGAATTTGAGTGGAATAAAATATGACAACCAACAAAAAAACTTAACATAATACTTTTTAGATTTATTTACTACAGTTGCATGAAATAAAATTTAAAATTATCTTAACGGATACTTCAATTTAAAAGATACAGTAACAATATAAATTTTCTATTATTTTCATATCAATTTGAAATTGATACATTGAATGTTTGCAATCGAGTATTTTTCAATTCAATAGTATAAACAGCCGGGCTAGTTCAATTGGAATAGTTGCTTGTGAGCTTCCCTCGATACTTGAGCGAGAAAGCGAAACGCGAGAACGAATATGGAATCGGTAAGTAAAATTCACAAATGTTAATTTAAAATAAAACTTTAAATAACGAAATGAGTTAAACACAAAGCTAAACACTTACCTTGACTAAAAGCTCTCAATATTTCTACACTAATTATTTTTAAATTTCCTTCGACGTGTAGTCAAGCTTTAGGAAATAATTTGTTTAAAATGTAGGTCGCTACAGTCGCAAAAGAGGAAAATAAATAGTCATCAAATAACAGCCGATGTCGCGTCTAACTTCCCGTGCAATATGAATTTATGCAACATCGGCTCGGAGATAGCATATTCGATGGAAAGGAAGTTTTGATTTCTGTTTGCATAATAAACATAGTAGTACGAGTTGTCGGTATTTGTTTGCAATTTTTCAATGTTTACAGAACAGCACAGCTAAATGTTTTACGATGAAACAACATTGTGCATATAACCGTCAGTTTACACAGCCGATTTTCTTTGTAAAACAGAGTAATGAATATATTTTAGTACAATTTTTTTGGCAATGAAAAATCATGGTAAGAGATAAACTAAAAATAATGACTTTGTTATTTTACGAGTATAAATAAAACAATAATTTTTTTTGTAACTTAAAAATAAACTGAAAAACCAATGAACCGCTTTTAATAACTCCTTTTCCATTTACAAGTTACATTATCACTGACTAATATAGGCGCCTATTTTGATTTCTATTGTTTTACAATTTGTCGACTAGTAGATGTCAATTAACAAGGTTTTTTTGGTACGGCAATGGTACGCGCTAGCTTAATAAGTAGCTGTTTACTCTTTAAAGTACTGATTTTTATTGTCTCTATTTATTTGTTCGTCTACAGAATTTTACAAAAGTACACCAGTACTTTATAGATACTTCTAACTGGATGAGACCCTGGAAAGGACGCGCACCTGTCTGTAATTTCCAGTAGAGTTAGGAAATCCAACCATAAACATTAAGCAGGAGGGTTTAAAATTAATCGACTACCAGTAATCGCAGACTGTATCTTCGTATACTCAAGAATGTGCTATTGAGAAAAGGGTGGGCCGAGATAAGAGCTTTATCGATGCATAAAGTATGTTGTTATGAAGTTTGTGGGACGGGCCTTTAAGCGCGTTGGAGAAAAAGAAGAATTTAACCTTATTCATTGAGGTATTCGCGGCATCTCTTTATTTACACCTGTCGTAATATTCACGGCCTTCAACGGGTATCAAGGTCGGTCGGGGAGATTTTATCAAACCTCTCAGCGGGATTCGCGCTTAAAATAATGTTAATTTAGACAGTTTTTTTTACTTTACCGTGTATCGTACTTCTTATAACATATGTAAGCAATGTCAAATTACCTGAAACAAAAATAATAATTAAGGAAAAGAACATAGACATCACAGTTTTCACATGTTATAATAAACACTTTTTGTTTGACCGAGATCAGAAAGCGAGAGAATACGGCATTTTGCTTGCCTTACATTTTATAACAAGGGAGATATTGATCATCTGAGAGTGCCATTTCCAACTTCAATAGAGTTAATGTCAATTCAGTCGCTGCTCTCTTGTAGATATTACAAAGACCTACTAGTTGTTGAAGCGATCTGAGGAAATAGGTTTTGTATAGTTCGCCTCTTTAATTTTCAACTATATCTGTAGTTTGAGTCGGAAATTAAATCTTTTCACTGTCAATATTTACATTATTCTTTTAATCATACATTTTAATTTATGAACAAATCTTTGAGTTCTGTGTCAATAATGTTTTCACTCAGACTCCAAGTAGTGTTTACACGCAATTAGGTGTATAATTTGATCTATTTACTCTTCCAAAAGTTAAATAAGCAAAACTTGATGGAATTACAAATTAAGGCACTTTTAAAGACTAATTCCCGTAGAAAAGACGATTTAATATATTATCCTGTTACGAACACAACAGTGTAAATGTTATTAATTACTTGATTAGATTAAAGTATTTAATTACAACATTAATTAAGTCCGCATAAAGTCTTAATTATTAATTAATCTTGTTGAACAAAATCTCTTTGTATTTATCTTTTCAACGCAACTCTATTTACTAGTTTCGATTTTGGTATTTAAAATTTTATTCTTTTGCTTTTGTTTGGTTAACCTTTCATTAAATTTTCAATAAAAAAATGTTATGTACACAAATTATTGTAAATTCTGTTGTATATTTGTAACCGCAACTTTTTCGGCCATCCGTAAATATATAAGTATGAATTTTAACAACAAACTATCTTATTATACTTATTTTAAATTCCGAGTTAACCTGTTACGTTAACCGTTTACGACAAAAAATATTGTTGGCCTAAAAATGTATGATATGTATGAATAGAACATTATTTTTTCATAAATGAAGAATCCCTATTTAGTACAGATAACATTCGTATGTTTAGCAATGTTACATTTTTTCATATCTTATCCTAATGCGATGAACATAGAGAGCGGTATCACATAGTGGATATACTTGTATTGAACCGTCTAATATCTTAAAGATATTTTAAAACAAACGTCTGGTTATATTAAATCCACTACAAAAACCATATTGTTACGCTTTAACCGTGACTTAATCGGAGGTCATAATTCGGCAACGGGCCACCCAAACTTCGGCTTATCGTTAAAATTCAAAAAAGTCTGTCTCATATAGTTTTATCGTCCGTCATCACATTCTATCCGTGAGTTTTACAGCCGAAATATTGGGACTAAAGCGTGTTGTTGTCTCTTTCATTCTGTTATAAAGAAAGAGATGTCAATATATTGTATACGGCTGTGTGCATGGGACATTAATATTCCGATTGATTTACTTTACTATAGAACTATTTAGTGACAGAATTTTATGATTTTGTTTTTTTATAATTTTATCGAATGATTTACTTAATATTCTTTAGCGTACATAAACAAATAGCCGTCTACATTCTGGAGCAAATACTTCTTTCTCGACTTTAATATAAAAGTTGGAATGCCAGCTAGCCCACGTCGCTCCAATACCTAACTTGATAAAACAATGCGTCCTAAATACTTATTGTACAATTTATTAATTTTAGCTTGTCAAATAAATAACTGAACGATGTAATTAAAGGCTATTAATTTTATTATTACTAGTCGTTTGTTATAATTAAAAACACAAGATTATAGCTACCAACCATATATTAATTGTAACTAACAGTTTTTTTTTTTATATAAGTACATAAGTGGAGACTTTAACAATTATAACTATTTAAGTAACTTTATATAAATTGTATGCACTGTAAACTTTTCTTAAGTAATTTAAGTAAGAATATGTTAAACAAGTTAACGAATACCAGAGTTTACGACGCAAGTAAAAGCTTCAAGAATTTAAGGAATTTCATGTCACTCAAAGAGGTTCTTAATATGGTCCTTCACCCTTATCAGGATTTTTATGGAAAGCAGACGTCCCTGGAGCCACTTAGACGAAGCCTTAGATAACTAACAGAGGTATCCAAAGGCACTGTTGTAGTATTTTAAAAAGATTTACTGTACACTTAAAATAAACTACGGACGGCGTAATTTCTAGAAAACTGGGACGTAGCTAGTGGAGTTCATAAAATAATTAATGTTATGACTACAAAGGGACTGTAAAACTTTATATTAGTAGTGATGTAGTTTGTTAGGGTGTGCGTTAATGTAGATTTAATATACGATATCTTCACTAAGGGACCATTTAATTACCCTGAAGACAGTTATGTATGTAAAATATTATATTAGAAAAATGTTTTAATAAATTATGCTTTTGTTCAGGATAAAAATTTAAAATCCCAGATAGATAATACTTCCCAAGTTCAATCATACTCAAAGAGATTGATATCCATTCAAATAATGTCAACGAGAAGATCTGATATCGCAACATTACATCAAGAGTTGCTTGTAAGATGAGCTGAAGTTTGAAATGACAATCGATTTCGATTTCACGAGTAAAATGAATCCGATAAGGAATATTTTGTAGAATTTATTTTTATATCATCTGTTTTAGGAACAGTTTGCAACCTAACTTTATAGATCACTACCAAACTTTGAAACGATACATATTTTTTTTGCTTTGTAAGCGCCACCTACAATGTAACAAACGTTAAACTTCTACTGGATACTAGCGTTCGCCCGCGATTCCGTCCGCGTGGAATTAAAAGAAACAAAAGTGAATAGCGTATGTATTCTTCCAAACTATCC